AATTTAAGTGTGGGGTGTTGATGTGAGGCCAAAAATATATATTTTTAATCATTATTTGCCTCACATTTATTGTTTTTACTAGTTTCTGAACGTGTGCCTTGCACGTGTATCCCATACATTTTTTGAATTAATTTGTTAGAACGATTAAAATTCTATGAAGACGTGTGTAATGATCAGTACTAAAATGCAACAATCTCAAATAAATGTTACAGCAATAATATTTTTATAGAAAACTAAATTTAAAAAGACTGATAGAGAGAAAATATAAAAACATAAGCATAAATAATATTATTACCAATTGCATTTACATGTAGGTTTCAGTCATAAATATCATATGTAGTACATTTTCTATTTATTTGTAATGAGTAATTTTAATTTATGATAGATACATATTTTTTTAGAAAAATATTGAACTTGATACATACACAAAAACAAAATATGAGGCCAACTACAGAAATCAAAACTATAAATTTAATCACTATTTAGAAAAGTATAAATTGGATGAAATCGTTACCTTATTATATTGTTATGGTTTAGATGTTGGAGGAGAAATTAAATCGAACAGAACCTGCAAACAAAAATAAAAAATGAGGTAATAGGAATAAAAATATAAGTAATTCATCAAAAAAATCAAAGAGTCTGGATAGAGACCTTCTCTTGGTATTTCTATGTCCTTACCAAGTATTTTATTCATTATTTATAGTGTGTTGAAATTGTTGATTTGTTACTATTCATAACATCCCAAAATAAATACAATAAATGAGGTAATAATGAAGAGAAAATGAAAAGTCAGTAATTCTCTTCAATGTCTAACTTTTGTACGTGAAATTATAACGAAGATTAAAATTTATAGAGAACAATAGTTATTTAAATTTAATTTATTATTTAATTAATAATGTAGGGGAAAATAGTAATTCATTAACTTACCTTTTAAATTTTAATAAATAATAAGAATTGAGGTAATAATGAAGAGAAAATGAAAAGTCAGTAATTCTCTTCAATGTCACTTTTGTAGGTGAAATTATAAGGAAGATTAAAATTTATAGAGAACAATAGTTATTTAAATTTAATTTATTATTTAATTAATAATGTAGGGAAAAATAGTAATTCATTAACTTACCTTTTAAATTTCAATAAATGATAAGATTTGTATTACAATGAATCAAGACAATGTGAAATACGTGTAAATAAATGCCAATTCAATGCATTTTAGAATTGGTGAACCTTTGGTCTTTCCAAATAATTGGTAGATTACGTGCAAATAAATGTTTATTCAATGCATTTTAGAATTGGTGACCTTTGGTCTTTCCACCTTTTTATTTTTTATTTTTTATTTTATTATTATTATTATTATTATTATTATTATTATTATTATCATCATTATGAACTTTCGACTTAACATCTTTCCACTTTTAGTATTTAGTATAATAAGATATTAGGATGATATATGATTAATGGTATTATTGTAGTAGCTCAATTTTATAGGGGTATTTTGGTATTTCAACTTCTTTTTTTCCGTATATTAGGATGATATATGATTAATGGTATTATTGTAGTAACTCAACTTTATAGGGGTATTTTGGTATTTAACCTGTCAACTTTTTTTGTTCCCACTTATAGTAATACTAGATAGGTATGAGCACATGCCCAACATTTATATTTTTGCATTGTTTCCAATAATTACTTTGGCTTAGTTTCTCTAATTTTCTGTTGTTATCTCCATTATACAGCTTTCCAGACAACTTATAAGCTTCCGTTTAGAATAAAACTAAAAAAAAATATGGGCAAGTATATAAGCTTCTGTCTATAGGAGAATTGATTCCACTGGCATATAGTTTACTGCTTATTGAAGCAACAAAAAATTGGTAAATAAGAACTTATAGTTGAAGCAAAAATATCACAAGCTTCTGCTGAAATTTCTTAACATAACATTGTATCATAGTAGTAACTTCATTGATTCTTCCGATAGTTATTTGGTCTTCATATAATACAAGTTATTCACTTGCATTTCATAAACGAACTTAAGCATCTTGTTGTTTCAAGCTTGATATGATAAATAAATTTGTCACGGTTTCAGCTTAAGTACATCAACAACCTCTGTACATTTTGAAACTGGACCCCGAGGAGAGGATAAAGTAATGAACTCGCAATATGTCTTCACAACGAAGCCTGACAAACTGTTCAACCGTGAAGTTACCTCCATGCTTCATCATCATTGACAAATGACATTGAATGGGAAATTCTTAACTATTGTGTTACTATTCCATGGAATAAAAGCCACATTTCATTAGCAGTACATTCGGAGCAAGTTTCAAAGTTGCAATAAAAATGAAAACAAAATATCATTAGGACATGCATAAGCTATAGGGAGTGATAAGTAATATCTCACTTCTTTCTGAGCTACTGCCCCTTCCAGGCCTCCTATCATGCATATTTGTACAATTTGACTCCACGGTATTTTAAACTTTATCTAAACAATTCAGTGCTCTGACATTAATATATCAAATATATGCACAAACTCTTCCTTTGAGATGCTCGATATATACATACCAGTCACAAGACAATAATGTGCATTGAAAGAAGGTACATGTTGGTGATAGGGGAGACTTATTCCTTATTTCTGTCAAGCTGCACTTCACGAATAATAGTGAACCAAATTCAGTTTTCTAAGTGCAAAAAAAGCTTTCATACTTAAATGGATCAATGGTTGTTTATCCCACACACCTGCTTTAGATCATGGTGATCGTCACTGTCATTGAAATTGATATCGGCATCAAGTCCTCTAAATTTAATTGCAGCACGATATATGCCCTGAAATTAATATAGAAATCTAACACCATACAATCCTATTCCAGCTAATTAAATAGTACCATTATAACTTCGCTAATGAAATTCAAAATCTAATTACTATGTTGTTCCTAGCAGCAGCGTGTGCAGTGTTAAATCCTCCCATAAGACTCAAATTCTCGATAAAAAATGTCTAACTGAAGCTTGCAGTTACTTAGAAACAATTCATGAATGAAGTATGAAAGAACTTTAAATCAGCAGAGCAGTTGTATATTAATAATTACATTTGCTTACCCAAGTAGACTTGTTTCAGCAATCCATGCATGATATATATTTCATAGAAACTTCAGTTACTTTCAAGCTATATCTTCATGTAATTATCGGTATTTCAACAGAACAATAGTTTCTCTGTGAATTAAGAAATTATATGTCGTTCAATACTGATTATTGGTGGAGACATAAGGGACTTATTCATGTGTGAAATGTTCAATGTATGACATGATAAAGTTGGAAAAGTACACTTTCAGGGAGAATATTGAGATCAAAGGACCTCTTCTCCTTTGTGATGCTCAAGTTGTTCCATCACAACTAATAACTCCTTAAGTGAGAGTGGCATCGTCCACATGTATACTGAAATAAGTGTAAAAGAACATGTTCCAAAGCTATGAGCTACCTAAAGGTGAAGACGGTGGATTGTTCCCTTCCTAATCTTCTCCCCACATGCAACTCCTATTGTATAAGTTGGAACCTTTTATTGTAGATTACATTCTGCAAAAGATATTGTAATCAGGCAAATAATGTAACTTCAATAAAATGATTGCGTTAAACATGTCACAATATATACATGCAGAAATAAATCATGTTTAGCTATAATACCTACAAAGACGTTTGTAAGTCAAACCAAAAACAGAAAGAAAGAAAAACAGACTTCTAATACTCTTTTTGCCTGAAAATTAAAAAATACATCTATACTTGAAAGCATATAGAAGTAAACAAACCTACATACTCTTTTTGTCTGAGATTTAAAACAGACCTCTATACTTGAGAGCAAATATCAGATAATATCTTAAGGTGTTTCTTTTTCTTCAGAATATTTTATAAGCAGCATAAAAAGTGCTCCTTACAAAAATGAAAAAATAAAATGCATCTTGTGCACTGTAAGTTAATTTTTTATACAACATCTTAATATCCCAAAAGT